CTCTCCCAGCTGAGAGAGGAGGTTTAAATAAGCCTTGCAATTAAATGATTATTAAATAAATAATAATTAAAAGCCTTGGCCTCCTCTGGGGGTGGCACAGGGCCTCAGGGCCATGCATTTCCATCTCTGCACTGCCCGAAGCTCGGCCCACCGTTATGTTTTGAGAGGAAAATCCTGCTGCAGCTGCGGGTGATGTTTTGGAGCAAATCTGGGTTCATGGCAACATCTGCCCATGGTGCGTCTTTGCGGGGATGTGGCCCCGTGTGCCCCTTCCCAATGCTGCGAGCAGGAGAAAGGTGCTGCCCAGGGTAACCCAAAATCTTTGTTACCCTGAGGACACCCAGGCAAACACTGATTTTTTGGAAGGGGCCGTTGCTTGGCCTCCTCTGTCCAAAAGCAGACCAGGTCTCCAGCATTGGCGCAGGAGGGCCACCACCGCTGTGGCTGGAGGGGACCCTCAAGCCAGTCCCCGTACCAGCTGCCCCTGAGGATGCCGTGCATCATGTAGTGGTGAAGGCAAAACCCACCCAAATTCCCCTCCTGATGTTGCATCGGTCCCTGGCCCCCTGGGGAACATCACCGCTGGGGCTATGCGTGTCTTTGAGGAAAAAAAAAAAAAAAGTGTCTCCCCCCCCCCCCCCCCCCCAAAAAAAAAAAAAGCCCCTGAGGGTCCCTGTACCCCATGGCAAGCGCTGAGCTGCCCCACGGGGTGTGCACGCCAGGCTGCGATGGGCGTAGGGCCCTGCGGTACCCCCACCATCTCGGGTTTGTACGTTTGCTTTGGCACTGTCTGAACGGCCACCGAGGTATTTCCAGGGCGACGTGTTGCCGCAGCAACTGGGGATGGAAATGCCGCTTCTGTGGGGCGAGTACCACCATAAACATCGGCCTGCGCCGGGGCGTCGCAGCGGGACGGGCACGGAGCGGAGCCAGCCCTGCTGGGAAGGAGCGAAGAGAGGTCAAGGACAAGTTAAAATTGGAAAGAAAACTGAACATGCCGTTTCGTAGGGCCTTGCTTGCTCTCATCTGCCAATTTTTTTTCCACCCTCCCCGCTTCCTATCACCAGCGGGGTGGTGTGGGCATCTCCTCTGGCTGGTGGGGGCAAAGGGGTCCATGGTGGCCAAAATTACTGGGAAAAGCCACCAACTTTCAGGGTCTCTTCCTGGCGACCCTGGCCACTGCAGGCCCCCTTTGCACCCAGCGTCATATTTTCAATCTCCTTGCCGCCGGGTTATTCCTCCCCATCCCCAGATTTGCAGCGTGCTGCACATTTTTGTGCTGAAATTCAGAGCTCCATGCTGGAAGCTGCCAAGCGTGAGTCTGGATTGTGTAATGAGCCTCATCTATTTTTTTTTTTCCCCCTCCCAAGAAGTTTTTGGAAAAGTAGTGTCTGAGAGCCTGGAAGGACCTAGTCGATTTTATGCCTACCATGGCTTTGCTTTCCTGGGTGCAGGTGGGCTCAAGACCCATGCAGAAGCTTTTAGACCCCACCTCTTTATGCCCCAGCAGCTCCTCCATCCTCTGGGTCTGTGTCCCAGCTCGCAGCAAGGCTGAACTCACATTTCCAAATGCCTCCTTGAAAAATACCATTTCTTGCATTTTTCTCTCAACAGCCCCAAGCAGAGGTTGAGTTTATTTAACAGGCAGGGGGAAGGCATTGCTTTCATGGCCGTGGACAGAGTCCTGTGCTAAGGCCGCAGCAGCACTGCTGCGTTTGCCCTCAGTGGGTCACCAGCCCTTGATGCCCTCCGCATCTGCCTCAGCTGGAGCCGAAGGAGATGCTGGAGGAGGCCAAGCCCGGTGCTGGGGAGCGGGCAATGCCGGCTGACCCAGGAGAGCATTTGGGCACTTTGGTCATGGGTCTTTGCAACCCCGGGCACTAACCCAGGGGCTTTAGTGCCTCATTTGCTGTTGCCGCTTCCGTCTTCCCCTCCCACGGGAAGCAGAGCTAGATGAACTCACTTGCCTTATCTCTACCTGGATTTGCCCTCTCTGTCCTCACGTTGTCCTGCTCCCACCCTGTTTGGTCCCACGTTTGCACGCTGCTGGGTTCAAGCCCAGCTCAGCACTTTCTGTGCCTGGGACAAACCCGGCCTCGGTGCCCAGGACCTGCTGCAGCCGAGCTGAAGCTGTCGCCGCTCCTCCAGCAGCATCCGCAGCCTTTGCACCTCACCACCAAGGCAGAGCACCGCTGGGACCTCCCTCCTGCTCTGCTTGACAAGCGGCTGAGATGCAGAAGCTGTTTGGAGGAAATGACTGTGAGCGTATCAGCATCGGACAAGTTCGTGGCTGCAGGAACCCGAGATAAAAACATGCCCAACGTCACAGCTGCTGTGCAGACGGCTGTGCAGCAGGGCAAGGCACCCCTCGGATTCACCTCGCACAATATGCTTATACCGTGTTTCCACTAATTCTTTTTTTATTCTTATTTTTCATTTAGGCATTGCAGTAATATCTTTATTATCACAGCAGATTACTGCAAACAGAAAGCAAGCCCTGACCTCGCTTCAGCCCAGCCCAGCACCTGAGCTGCAGCAGAAAGCATCGCAGCCCTGTCAACTCAGCATCTCCCGGTGGGTGACCCCCCTGTTTGGGCAGGTAGCTTAACAATTTAACAGCCCAAGCAGGGCACTTCTCCCCGATAACCACCTGGCAGAGGCGGGGAGGTGTGTCAGCAGCTCACGCGGGTTGTCGCCGAGGAAGCAAACAGGGGTGTGCAGCCTGGCAGGCAGCCAGGCAGCCACATCGCCTGTATGGGGCCAGGTAGCTTAGCAATGCCACCCAAAGACTATTAAATTCCTTGTTATAAATTAATTTCATGAGTGGCAAACCCAGGGATGGCACGGGCGTAGGAGAGACGTGAGCGATGGTGGCATGCAAGCCCACGAGGGTTTAGGCTACGATTTTTTCCAAATGTTTAGATGTCATGGCCAAGAGAGTGCCTGTGCTGGGTGCTGCCTGCAGCCCAGACGCAGCGGGAGGAGACCCAGGCCCCATGGGTGCTCCTGTGCCGGGGTGCCCCGCTCCTCGCATCGCCCTGGCCGCGTCCGCAGGGTCCGGCCCCGCTCACTGGCTGCAGCATGGCTCCAAGAGATGCTAAAATGGGAGATGCATATTGTCTCCCAATGGAAAGTATTTTAGCTAAATCCATGCTATAACCATTTTATTGACTCCAAGCACCAGAGAGAAAGTTAGAAGTGACTCTTTTACAAGTCATTTTGCTGTTAAATTTAGCTGTCCTATTTTCATTATCCCCATGGCTTTGGCAAGGGTGAGCAGCCTTCCCTAAAAGGCCTCGTTTCATACAGTAAGTTATTTGCTTCTCTCCTGACAGATATCTAAGCTTATAAGGTTTGTCTGCTCCGCTCAATAGCAGTATCAGCCTTCAGTCTTGTATGATTAGCATCAGCATTTTGTATTTGCTTTTGGCTCCCCGTCTGACAGCTTTCCATGTTGCTTACTGACGCATTGGGATGGTGTCACATCACTTGTAACGTGGGATCATCTGATTTTGACTCCCAAAGTACACCCAAAATATCTGGATAAATGGTTCATCTGCTTCTCCTCCCAGTTTCCCTGTTGCCCAGCAAAGATAATTGATTCGTTCCATTCATTTCGTGGTTGTCAGGTCTGCAAAATGCTGAGTTGATAGGTCAACGTGATGCTAAGCGATGGGCAATTGAACATGAGAGGTGATGATGTTACAAGAAATGTTCTGGAAAATGAATATTTATCCCAGCAGGTTAAACTTTTCCATGTTTCCAAAAACATTTTCCCCTGTCGAGGGGGACTTTGTCCCAGCCTCGGTGGCTGCGAGAGCCAGCACCTCCTGCGAGGTCACGGGAGGCAGCAGATGAACCGGGGCTCATGGGGTGGAGCCGGTCCTGGCGGGGAGTGCTGAAGCTGCCGGGCACTGGGCTTTGTGGGGGAAACAGAGGATGTTTCCCCCATAAACTACCCTCCTCAGCCCCAGTGCTCCCAGCAAAGAGCTCATCCCCGTAGGGCTGTGCCCTGGAAGCTGCCCAGTGGGAAGCAGCATGGGTATGGGGCTCCCCGTCCACAGCCTCTGCGCTTTCCCCAGCGATGAGCCGAAATCCCCACCGAAGCTTCCCACTGCAGCAGTGTTTGCCCCCAGGCTTCAGCCTGGCACGTACAAATCCAGGCCCTTTCTCAGTGACGTTCACTTCAAGCAGTGCCTGCACCACCCTGCCAAGCATCCCTCGCTGTGACCCGGGCTCGCCCTCCCGGCCCCGCTCACGGCCGTGCCTTTCAGGAAATGCTGGAAATGCTGAAAATGCTTTGAAATGCACCCAGCCCAGCCCTGCGCGCGCACTGGGAGCCGGCCAAGTCCCAGCTGGGCAGCCTTACCATGGCAGGGGGCCAAGCCGGGCACCCAGTTGCCCTGCTGGTCGGCTCCCAATTGCTGGGCAGGGGTTTCTGTGCCCTCACCCTCCCCTTTCCCAACCCTTTTCCCAGGGCAGTCTTTGAGGGACAGAGCAGGACACGGGTTAGGGACACGAACTGGAGACCCACAGCCTGAGGTGGCTGCTGGGGCATGGAGCTTATACCCCAATGCCAGTTCCCAAAATCCTCTCCCGGGAACCCCGCCATCTCCTCCATCCTGACATTGACCCCAGGGATGCCTCGTGGTCCCTGCTTGCCCGGAGCCCTTCCCACAGCCCCTCCGTCCCCATGGAAGGCCCCTGCCTGGGTGAGGGTGCATGGCCCCATGGCACGTGGGCTCGGCAGCGGGGTGGCCTTGCACCCTCCCGCACCCGTCCCACCCCCGGACCATGTAGGGCACCGACTGCTCCCAGCCCAGAGCTTATAGGAAGAGGAAACACAGTCCCCGCGCAGAGG